TAACTGAATAATCTTTTTCTAGATTAATTTGCTTTGTATTTAAGGCCTTTTCACATAAAAAGTAAGGAAAGTAAGACATATTTACTTTTACTCTGATTCCCTAAGTAAACATGAATAGAATATTTTGACATTGAATTCTCTAAAAATATTTTGACTATATATAAAATGTATTGTTCAAATTACTTATTTTTTTCCTTTATTAATTTTAGAGAGAGAGAAGTGAGAGGGAGAGAGAGATAGAAACATCGATGAGAGGGAACATCGATTGGCTGCCTCCTGCATGCCCCACACTGGGGATTGGGCCCACAACCTGGGCATGTTCCCTGCCTTGGGATAGAACCTGCGACCTCTTGGTGCATGGGTCCACACTCAACCACTGAGCCACACTGGCCAGGCTCCAAGCCATTTTTTGAAATAAGTTCTACTGAGCTATAATTCACATACCATAAAATTCAAAAGTTTTTAAATTAAAAATGGAACTGCCATTTGACCTAGTGATCCCACATCTAGAAATATGTCCTAAGAAGCCTGAAACACCAATCAGAAGGAATATATACACCCCTATGTTCATAGCAGTGCTATTTATAATAGCTATGATCTGGAAACAGCACAAGTGTCCACCAGTGATGAGTAGATAAAAAAGCTGTAGTACATTTACACAATAAAATACTATGCAGCTGTGAGAAAGAAAGATCTCTTACCCTTTGAGACAACATGGAAGGACCTGGAAAGTATTTTGCTAAGTGAAATAAGCCAGTCAGAGAAAGACATGAACTCACTTATTTGTGGAATATAATGAACAAAATAAGCTGACAATCAAAATAAATCCAGAGACATGAAAGTAGGGAACAGACTGACAAACCTCAGAGGGAAGGGGATTGGGGGTGGGGGGGGAGCCGGGAAGAGATAAACCAAAGAACATACATGCATATATGTATAACCAATGGACACAGACTATAGTGTGGGGAAGGCAGGAGGGGAGCAGGGAGGAGGATGTCAATGGGGGAAAAATGTGGGGACATCTGTAATACATTCAACAATAAAGATAAAAAGTTTTTTTAAATATAAAATTTCAGAAGTTTTTAGCATATCCAGGGTTTAGTATATACAACTATCACCACTAATTTTAGAAATTTTTCATCAACCCAAAAGATACCCAAGTCCATTAGCAGTCATTCCTCATTCCTCCCTTGCCCTGGTAACAAAATTATTTAAAAAATTTCTATGAATCTACCTATTCTGGACATTTCATAAAAATAGAATCATATAATGTTTTCTTTGGGGCTGGCTTTTTTCACATGAAGCATTATGCTTCATGGTTCACCTCTGTTGTAACATGTATCAGTACTTCACTCCTTTTTATAGCTGAATGGTATGATTATACTTTTGTTTATTCATTCATCAACTGATGGACATTTTGGATGTTTCCACTTTTTGGCTATTATGAATAATGCTATGAACATCTGAGTGCAAGTTTCTAGTAAACATATGTTTTCGACTCTTTTGCATAAAGTGATGAGGGTGGGGCTTTAATGATGAGACTGGGGCCATATATAAAAAGACACTAGAGAGTTTGTTCTCTCCCTCTCTCTCTTTCCCTAACAGGTGGCAGCCAGAAGGCAGCCATCTCTAAGTCAGAAACTGTTCTCACCAGAACCCAACCATACTGGCATCCTAATCTCAGACTTCCAGACTCCAAAACTATGATAAAATAAATTTCTGATGTTTAAGCCACTCAGCCTATGACATTTTGTTATGGCAGCCTGAACTAAGATAAAGGTCATAAGGGTGAGGCCCTAGTGCTATAGAACTGGTGTTCATACAAAAAAAGGAGACACCAGGAGTGTGCATGAACAGAGGTAAAGCCATGTGAGGGCATAGTGAGAAGGCTGCAAGCCAATGAGAGCGGTCACACCAGAAAGTCACCCTGCTGGCACCATAATCTTGGACCTCTAGCATATAATCTTTTCTGATGTTGCTGGATTTGGTTTGCTAACATTTTGTTGAGGATTTTTGTTTCTATATTCATAGACATAATGAACATAAACATTGTAGTTTCCTTGTGATGTTCTTTGTCTGGTTTTGTCATCAAGGTAATACTACTGGCTCATAGGTAATACTAGTTTGGAAAGTGTTTGCCCCCTTCCATTTTTGGAATACTTTGTGAAGTGTTGGTGTCAATTCTACTGTAAACTTTTGGCAGAATTCACCAATGAAGCAAGCCATCTGGGCCTGGGCTTTTCTTTGTGGGTAGATTTTTTTTTTTAATTGATTCAGTCTCTTTCCTGCTATCAGTCTATTCAGATTTTCTATTTCTACTTGAGTTTAGTTTCAATAGTTTGTGACTTTCTAGGTTTTTGTCCATTTCATTTAGGTTAACAAATTTGCTGGTCAATTTAGCTAAAGGTTTGTCCATTTTGTTGATCTTTTCAAAGAAAGAACTTTTGGTTCTGTTGTTTCTATTTTTCTACTATCTATTCCATTCATTTCTGTTCTAAAATCTGTTAGTTCCTTTCTTCTATTTACTTTGAGTTTAGTTTGTTCTCCTTTTTTAAATTTTTAATTTTGTTTTAGAGACTGGTAGGGAGGGAGGGGGAGAAAAAGGGATAGGGTGAGAGAGAGAGAGAGAGAATAACAATGTGAGAGACAAACGTAGATTGGCTGCCTCCTGCACGTGCCCCAACCAAGGATCAAACCTGAAACCTAGGTATAAGTACTGACTAAAAATCGAACTCGCCACTTTTTGGTGTAAAGGATGACACCCAACCAGGTGAGCCATACTGGCCTGGACTTCTTTTTCTTTCTTAAGGTGGAAAGTTAGTCTATTGATTTGAGATCATTCTTTTTTAATATAGGTGTTTTTTTGTTTTGTTTTTTATGTTTTAATTAATTTTTGAGACAGAGAAACATTGATGTGAGAGAAATACATGCATCAGCTGCCTCCTGCATGCCCCCTACTGGGGATTGAGCCCACAACCCAGGCTTGTGCCCTGACCGGGAATCAAACCAGGACCTCTTAGTCCATTGGATGACATTCAATCCACTAAGCCATACGGGCCAGGCTAGGTGGTGTTTTAAAAACAACTTTTAAGCCCTGGCCAGTTTGGCTCAGCGGTTAGAGCGTCTGCCTGTGGTCCGGAGAGACCCAGGTTCGGTTCCCGCTAAGGGCATGTACCTCGGTTGCAGTTTGTCCCCGGCCCTGGTTGGTCGTGCGGGTGGCAGCCACTCGATGTGTCCCTTTCACATCGATGTTTCCCTCTCTCTCTCTCTTCCTCTCTCTCCCTCCCACTCTGTCTGCACAAAAAATGGAAGAAAAAAAAAAAAAAACAACTTTTAAAATTGATTTTTAGAGAGAGGAGGAGGGGAGAGAGTGAGAGACAGAGAGAGAAACACTGATTCCTTGCTCCACCTATCCATGAATTCATTGGTTGATTCCCTTATGTGCCCCAACCAGAGATCAAACCCACAACCTTGGCATATAGGGAGGATGCTCTAACCAACCAAGCTACCCAGCCAAGGCTTAATATAGGTGTTTATAGTTATAAATCCCCCTCTAAGCACTGCTTTAGCTGTATCTCTTAAGTTTTAGTATGTGTGTTTTTGTTTTCATTTAACTCAAAGTATTTTCTAATTTCCTTTAAGATTTTTTTCTTTCAACCAGTTATTTAGGAGTATTCTGTTTAATATCGACTTTTTGTGAATTTCCCAGATGTCCTTTTATTATTTATTTCTAACTTCATTCCATTGTGGTCAGAGAGTATATTTTGTATTATTTCAATCCTTCTGAATACATTAAAGCTTGTTTTATGACCTGGCATATAGTCTATCCATGTGTACTCGAGAAGGACGTGTATTCTGTTTTGTGTGGAGTGTCCCACAGATGTCTTTTTATTAGCTCTAGTTAGCTTACAGTTTTGTTCAAGTCTTCTATTTCCTTGTTGATCTTCTGTCTGATTGTGTTATCCATCACTGAAAGTGACGTATTAAAAGCTCTAACTATTATTGTTGAATTATCTATTTCTCCATCCAATTCTGATAGTTTTAGTTTCATGTATTTTAGGGCTCTGTTATTAGGTGCATATAAATCTATTAATTGTTATAAATTCTAGATAGATTTATTCTTTTATTATTATAAAACATTCTTCCTTGTCTCTATTAATTTTTGTCTGAAAGTCTATTTTGTCTGATATAGTCCAGCTCTATAGTCTAGCTCTCTTTTGGTTGTCTGTACGGTATATATTTTTCCATCCTTGTATGTTCCATCTGTTTATGCCGTTGAATCTAATGTGTCTCATATACAGCATATAATTCAATCATGTTTTTTTCATTCATTCTACCTACCTCTGTCTTCTGTTGAAGTGTTTAATCCATTTAACAACTTAACGTAATGCCTGCAATTTTGCAATTTTTTTCTCTGGGTTGTGTATTTTTTGCCCTTCTATTTCTCCATTACTGCCTTGTTATGTGTTAAATAAACAGTTCTAGTGTACCATTTAAATTCCTTTAATGTTTCTTTTACTATATTTCTAAAGTTATTTTCTTGGTGGTTACCCTGGGGATTACAATTAATATCTTAACTCATAACTATGGATTTTGTTTTGCTTCAAGTTTCTTCTTGGAATTTTTGTTTTTTAATCCTCACCTGAAGATATTTTTCTATTTATCTTCTGGTAGAGTGGGAGGGAGGGAGAGAGACAAGAATCAACATGAGAGAAACACATCTACCGGTTGCCTCCCGCACGACCCCGACCAGGGCCAAGGACGAAATGCAACTGAGGTACGTACCCCGGACCGGAATTGAACCGCAACTCTTTGGTCCGAGTGTTGACGCTCTAACCACTAAACCAAACCACCCAGGGCTCTTCTTGATATTTAAATAGTCTAGTCAAAATTAACTCCATAACAAATAAAAAGGAGCTTTTCAACTCACAAACAGTGTTTAGGTACACTCTGGGAAGTTGCTATTATAACAAGTACCTGCCTCTGGTATAAACACTTACCTTGTCTAATAGTGCATTCTGCCACAATCTAAAGATACTGAGGTAACTTCTATCCCTGGCACCAAAAGATGTAAAGAAAAACTGAAAAGAAAAATAGTAGGATAACTTTAGTGTCATTTTAAAAAGGGGAAAGTATCTGTCATGAAGGTCTGTTAGCAGTTGCTATGGTCAAAGCTAGTAGGTCACCATTGCCTACTTGATATACTATTTTTGTTTAACTTTTTGCTGCAATAGACAAAATAACAGGTACATGGTGCATGAACCAGGTGTCTTTCAAACTGTATCTTACAGCAAATACAATTTTATCAATATTTACTAGGGATAGGAGCTGGAAATAGGTAGCTTTTTATGTTCATCATAGTTTAACTATGAAAATCAATCTAAATTTATGAAAAAAATTAAAATTTTATTAATTCTGAACTTTGCAAAGAAATGTGATTTGGTAGCCATTTGAGACAAGTACATAGAAAGAATAAGAAAAAATGTAGTGGATTTCAGAGATAATTTTGTTTTTTAAATCTTCACCCGAGGACATTTTTTCATCTATCAGCAGATGGAGGGAGGGAGAGAGAGAGAGAGAGGAAGAGAAACATGGATGTGAGAGCGACACATTGACTGGTTGCCTGCCACACAACCCTGACCAGGGCCAGGGATGAACCGCAACCGAGGTATGTGCCCTTGACCAGAATCAAACCCACAACTCTTTGGTCCATGGGCCAGTGCTCTAACTGCTGAGTCAAACCGACTAGGGCTTCAGCAATTAATTTTAAGGATCTTAATATAAAATTGTATCATCTTTCATAGTCTTCTCAAAAATCTAAAAATACCTAATCTCTGCTAATTATAGCTATAAAACATCCATATTAACAATAAACGATGCTTTGAATTTTGCACAAGAAAAACAGTATGTTTCAATCTATAATTCTATGTTTGTGCTTAGCCCATTTCTTCTTATGCATTTAAGTGGATTTTTGCAAAGTCACATTTAAAAATTTTTTTTTTTTTTAATCCTCACCCGAGGACATTTTTCCATTTTTTGTTCAGGTAGAGTGGGAGGGAGAGAGAGGAACAGAGAGAGAGAGAGAAACATCGATGCGAAAGGAACACATCGAGTGGCTGCCACCCGCACGACCAACCAGGGCCGGGGACAAACTGCAACCGAGGTACGTGCCCTTAGCGGGAACCGAACTGGGTCTCTCAGGACCGCAGGCTGACGCTCTAACCGCTGAACCAAACCGGCCAGGGCAAAAGTCACATTTTAAAATAGGCTTTTACTAGAAAATCAGACAAGTGGCAGCACTAAATACAGTTTCTCAGTATATCATCTCTTCCATTTCCCTAGTTAGTGACTTTTTATGATTAAATGCTTATTTTTAGGTATGAGAATGCTTAGTTCTATGTCTGACTTATTAAATAAAATATCAAACTAATAATATTTCAGGTGTTTACATTTTTCATACAAAGATGTTAAAGTATAATTTTCCAATTAATAAATTGAAACCTTGCTATATAATAGTCTCTCTAAAACAAAACTTTTTTAACAAGGATATAGCTAAGAACTCTTCCAAACTGGATTATATATACATTATGTCACCTAATGTCGCACACAGAGCCCTAATCAATTTTCCAGGTGGGTACAGAAAGATTCTTCATATATCTTCACTAAGAAATGGCAAATATTATTGGTGGTGATAAAAATGATGGCAATTAAAATAACGGCCATCCTAAAAAAAATTATAATGATTATGTGTGTTTACTTGTATGCTACCCAAACCTCTGTTCACCAGGATCATTTGTTTTTGTTAGTTGCTACTGTGCATAAAAACGCTTATAGAATTATTAAGGTATTAGAAATAATAAGGATGTTTTGCTAATGTTTACCCTATCTCCTTCTGATAATGAAGAAACGATAAAGATGGGAGAAAGTTCTCTTTAAACTATAAAGTACAAAAAATGTTAGCAGTCATTTAAAGTTAATCATCAAGCCTGGTCAGTGTGGCTCAGTGGCTCGAGCGTTGTCCCATGGACTGAGAGGTCCTGATGAATTCCCGTCAGGGCACATGCCCAGGTTATGGGCTCCATCCCCAGTGAGAGGTATGCAGGAGGCAGCCAGTCAATGTTTCTCACATCGATGTTTCTATCTCTCTCTCTCCCTTCCTCTCTCTCTAAAAAAAGCAATAAAAACATATTTAACAACAAAAAATTAAAAATTAAATTAATCATTAATACGTATTTAAGTATACAGAAATCTAGTATGAAATTCAATGTATCTCAATTAGATATTCCTAACTCCAAGAATTGCTTATATTCCCAAAGCCGGTGATCAGTTCGAGGCAGATTTTCTCCACATTATGTAATAAAGGAAAGGCAGAAATGTTTTTCACCTTTTCACCCTCTGTAGCAATCTGGATAGCATTTGGGATGAGTCGGGCAGTTTTCTCCTTGGTCATGAAGGTTATATTCTTTAAAGCAATAGAAATCTAAACAACACAAAACAATGAAACAATGAAAAATTGCAAAATGGCTATTTTCATAATACAACACAAAATACCAAGTATGACATCAATCTACTTCAGACTAGAAAAATCTAAATGAGTTAATAGTAATGACATGCTTGCCTTCTCAGAGAAAAACAGGGTAAATAGTCACACATTCTTCCTTTCAGTAATTTCCCACATCAACATTAAGATAAAGTATGAAAAGACATGTGGGTGTTCATGTTCTACATTAACACACACATACACACACACACTTCAGTCTGTCACATAAGACATGATTTTGGCAGCCAAAAGGATGTATATTCAAGCTTTTCTGAAATCTTTCTCTGACTGTATTACATATGTTCAAATGGAGCTCAATGTATTAAGAAAAATATATTGCACACCTCTACAGCACATACTGTGTTTATATATATACAAGTATAGATATAGAAATATATATAAATTTACTTTAGAATCTAAAGTATATTACTTTTAAGAGGAATGTATACATTTCTATCTAAGCAATTATTTGTATCAACAAATCAAATCAAAATATGTCTTACTGTAGTTTCCCATCTGAAGATGTTGCTATGGAAACACAGCCAATTTTCTGAAAGGTATAGTCGTCCCTGAAGCAAAATGTCTCTCTGAAGAGCACAAGCATAATCTATATACACAAAAATAAAAACCAGCTTAGTCACAGAAATATGGCAACTTAATAAATCTAATACTACTTTAACACACGGAAAAACAGCACTCTTTGTTCATTAGTTCATTTGTTCATTCATTCACTCAATTGTATTCTTTGTGCACCATACACTAGGGTTACCAGAAAAGAAACTTGCCCTCATGGAACACAGTCTAGAGGGGAAGGCATACAATAAACACATTTATCAGTATAATGACCAAAGCGTAGAGAAAGCTATGAGATAATATAATATCAAGAAGAGTTTTGCAAAAAAAGGTCATCTTTAAACTGAGACCTAAAGATCAATAAAGGATCAGCTGGACCATGAGAGAACAGTATGTGCAAAGATCCCATGGTAGAAAGAAACACAGCACATTTAAGCAACTATACAAAGATAGATCTCGGGCCTAGAAAAGCTAGATCATGTAAGGTGCTTTAGGTCATGGTAAGCTGTGGACTTGATGACAAGCACTGATAAGTTTTAAGTGGAAGGGACATCATCAGTTGTATCTTATTAATGACAACTTTATTCACACTATGAGAATGGATTCAGATAAATTAGTTGGAAATCCAGGGGAAAACTGATGGTGGCTCAGACCAGGAGATGACAGTATTAATAAAAGATATTGAGAGGCAATACTGATGGAGAATTGGTGATTAATTACACGTTAGACAAGGGTGGGGGAGAGAACAAGGATAACTCCAAAAATTGTATGTATGTGTGTGTGTGTGTGTGTGTGTGTGTGTGTGTGTATGTATGTGTACCACAGACACACATATATGTATATGCACATACGCATATATGTGTGTATATGTACAGATATGTGTGTATACACACACACACACATATATAAACTTAGTTTGTTTTAAAATTGACGCTCTCCATCTCAGAACTAAAATCCATTAAAATCAAGAGTGTGCTGGTAAATGCCACTGTCTATAACAAGTTAATACCATATTTCTAAGATTAAGAGCTGGCTCTTTGGCTATTGTAAATAATATTGCTAAATTATCAATAAATCAAGATATAAAGGACTGTTGTGAGAAGATTTAGTTAACCTAATAAATTTAAAAACTATATATACAATGATAAGCAATTTTAGGAAAAAGTTGTGGAGGTTATAAACCTCAAAATATTTAAATTTAATCATTAATATTCTAAGTAAATACTGAAAATTGAGCAAAGGAATGCACTCTTTCAAAATGCTTCCTTCGGCTAAACAAAACTGAGATGCCACCAAACAAAAAATCCTAGCAAATAATTAAGCAGATTAAGTTACTCATTTACTAGTATGCTTTTCTAAAACAGGGATTGGGCTAAAGGTCACCTTGAGGTGTCCTGAAAGTTTTATCTAAACCACTGAAACATTTTATTAGTTTAATGCTTCTCAAATTTCACATCAGAAATATCTGGCAGACTTATTAAAACACAGATTGCTAGGCCCCTCCCTAGAGTTTCTGATTAGATGTTTGGGCTGGGGTGAAGAGTTTGCTAAACAAGTTCATGGGTGATGCCAACATTGCTGGTCTGTGGACCACACTATGAGAACCACTGCATTACTTCACATTGTCTATGTTCAAAGCTACAGTGACCAAATGGATTATTTCAACTGAAGATTATTTAATATAGCCCTGGCCTGTTTGGCTCAGCGGTTAGAGCATCAGCCTGCGGTCCAGAGAGACGGGTTTGGTTCCCGCTAAGGGCACGTACCTCAGTGGCGGTTTGTCCCCGGCCCCGGTTGGGTTGTGTGGGTGGCAGCCACTCGATGTATCCCTTTCTCGTCGATGTTTCTCTCTCTCTCTCTCTCTCTCTCTCTCTCTCTCTCTCTCCCTCTCCCTCTCTCCCTCCCACTCTATCTGAACAAAAAGTGGAAAAATGTCCTCGAGTGAGAAAAAAAAAAGATTATTTAATATAGTTTGACATTTTTCAGTGGTTTTAAAAATGGTTTCCCCAAAACAGCTGTATTGTATTGTAATAAATTTGTACCTCAATAAAATTTAATTTTTATAAAATAGCTTTTTAGCAATATAGCCTATGCAAGAAATGAGCAAAATTTTTTAAAAGCAGAGATTTAATTTCTTTTTGCTCCCAATTTCCCTACTTATACACAAGCATGTAATTATCAGCATTTCACATAGCAATATTCTGCCTGATTTGAGTCATGTTAACAATCTGATTCATATAAAAGAATAAGAAAGTAATGTTCATCAAACATCATGTTATGGGTTTTATAACTTTATAACTGGTTACAAGAAAGTTAGAATAAAATGAAGTAAATTCAATAAGCAACATAGGTCAATTTGATACATGTGTTACATCAATTTACTATTATATGATCAATTTTGTCACAACTGAATGGCTCCAACTCAAAGATTACTTTAATAACTATAATATAACAATAGCTATACCAGCAATATGTCCAAAGTGTTATGGGAATACAGACTGAGTGAACCATATATTTATAAAGTAAGCTTGCACAGTAAGTAGTATGTACATATTTAAATAAACAAGATTGTACTATTTGGTTTTACCAAAGAATTTAGGCATATCTATCCATTAGGGAGATGATAGTGAATTAAAAGAATGTGTTTAGCCCTGGCCAGTTTGGCTCAGCAGTTAGAGTGTCAGCCCAAGGACCAAAGGTTCCCAGGTTCAATTCCTGGAAAGGGCACATACCTGGGTTGCAGGTTTGACCCCCGACCCCAAATGGGGTCATTCAGGAGGCAACAAATCAATGGGTCTCTCTCACATTGTTGTTTCTCTCTTTCCCTTTCTCCTTCCCTCCCTTCCACTCCATCTAAAAAAAATCAATGGAAAAATATCCTTGGGTGAGGATTAACAAAAAACAAACAAAGAATGTGTTTAGCATATTGGACTTCTAACTGAAAGGTTCCAGGTTTGAGTCCCAGCAGAGTCGCAATGCTTGAATTGTGCCCCTAAACCTGTATAACTTTGTTAACCTGTGTCACCCCAATAAAAAAAACAAATGTTTTTTAAATAATCATTCATAAAATTCACATCCAAAAGTATTCTTTTCAGGCAGCAATCATGTTTGGGAGCCCAGTAACACAAACAATGCTTTAAAAAGAACCAGGAACGCCCTAACCAGCTTGGCTCAGCGGTTAGAGCAATGGCCAAAGGACCCAAGCGTCACAGGTTAGATTTCTGGTCAAAGGCATGTGATGGGTTGTAGGTTCCATCCCCAGCCCCAGTCAAGGTCATCCAGGAGGCAATCAATCAATGTGTCTCTCTTACTTCTCCTCCCCTCCCTTCCACTCTATCTAAAAATCAATGGGAAAATATCCCTGGCTAAGGAGTAACAACAACAATAAAAGAACTAGGAACAACATTTTTAGGATTGTTTTCAGATTTAGAACTTAAATTACAAAAGATAACCATTCTCATTTACATTTACCTTACATTTTTCATATCATTTGGTTTTCTTTTTACCTGAAACAACTGTAAGAGTAAATACACATTGAAAAAGAAAAAAATAGCCTTGGCCGGTTTGGCTCAGCGGTTAGGGCGTCGGCCTGCGGTCCCGAGAGACCCGGGTTCGGTTCCCGCTAAGGGCATGTACCTCGGTTGCAGTTTGTCCCCGGCCCTGGTTGGTCGTGCGGGTGGCAGCCACTCGATGTGTCCCTTTCACACCGATGTTTCTCTCTCTCTTCCTCTCTCCCCCTCCCACTCTACCTGAACAAAAAAAGAAGAAGAAAAAGAAAAAAATAGTTTTCCCTGGTGCAAAAGGGAAAAGAATTTCTTTTTTTAATTTTTTTTATTTTTTATCCTCACCCGAGGACATTTTTCCATTTTTTGTTCAGGTAGAGTGGGAGGGAGAGAGAGGAACAGAGAGAGAGAGAGAAACATCGACGTGAAAGGGACACATCGAGTGGCTGCCACCTGCACAACCGACCAGGGCCGGGGACAAACTGCAACCGAGGTACGCGCCCCTATCGGGAACCGAACCCGGGTCTCTCAGGACCGCAGGCCGACGTTCTAACCGATGAACCAAACCGAGAAAGGGAAAAGAATTTCCATTCCCTTTTCCTAGAGCATTTTCTTTAGGAAATTTGTAAATACTTTCTCAGCTCCTTTGTATGAGATTTGTATGAATCTTTTTTTTTTTAATATATTTTTTTTCTTTATTGATTTTAGAGACAGAAGAAGGGAGAGGGAGAAAGAGAGAGAAACATCAGTGAGAGAGAACATCGACTGGCTCCCTCCTGCATGCCCTAATCAGGAATCAAACTGGTGACCTCTTAGTGCATACGCAGACACCCAACCACTGAGCCACGCTGGCTGGGCTGTGTGAATTTTTTTAAAAGCAAATAATCATCATGCACCATTTGTTGAAAAGACTAACTTTTCTCCACTGAATGTGAACCTTCGTCAAAAATCAGTTCACAATATTTATACGAATTTTTATGTGGGCTTTTCTTTCTGTTCCATTAATTTAAGTATCTGTCCTTTGGCAAATCTCATACTGTCTTGATTACACTAGCTTCATAATGTCTTGAAATCAAATACTGTGTATCCTCCAGCTTTCTCCTGTTTCAGAATTGTTTTGGCTGGTCTTTTTTTTTTTTTCCTTTTTCATATAAATTTTAAGATCAGCTTATTAATATCTACAAAAAAACTTGCTGGGATTTTCATTTGAGGGAATCGAAATCTTAACAATATTGAGTCTTCTGATCCATAAACATTTATTGGATCTTCTTTTATCAATGTTTTACAGTTGTCAGCATAGAGAGCCTACACATTTGTTAGGTGTACACCTAAGTACTTCATTATTGGGAATTTCTGATGTAAATAGTATTTCTAAAATTCAAATTCAAATTATTCATTGCCAGTATATATTAATATAATTCTTTCTTTCACCTTCATTTTCAATCATGTGACCTTACTAAACTCACTCATTAAATCTAGATTATTTGAGATTTAATGACATTATCTGAGATTTTCTACATGAAAAGCAAAAATACACACTGAAAATATATCTAGAAAGCTAACTACAAAACTATCTACGGATGATAAGATCCCCAATGATTTAATCTTTTCTTTATTCTATTCTTTATGGCTTTAATATTTTATACATCACCGTGTCATCAAATTAATTTCTTTCAATGAAGCAACGATGAGTATGTAACATTTATAAAGTTTTCCATGAAATGTATTTGATTTCAAGTCACAAACTGGCAAGAAACATATGCAACACACATGGAAAATATCTACTTTTTAAAACATCTAGCAAGCTACTTTAAACTAAGAAAAAGACAAATAACCACTAGAAAAAATGAGCAGTTTATGAAGAGAAGTCTTTATAAGACTTCTTGGTGCATGGGTAGACACTCAACCACTGAGCCACAGGGGCTGGGTGCAACAGTAAACTTTTAATTTTATGTATTTTTTTTTCTTTTAAAATTTTTTATTAATTTATTTTTGTTACAGATGTTTCTCCTTTTTTTCCCCATTGACACCCTCCTCCCCATTCCCCCACCCCATACCTGACTTTGTTGTCCGTGTCCATTGGTTATGCATACATGCATATAAGTTCTGAGGTTTATCCCCCCCCCCCCCCCCGCCTCTGAGGGTTGTAAGTCTGTACCCTACATCCACTTCTCTGGGTCTACCCAATTCCTCAGACTGTTATGTTCATTATATTCCACAAATAAGTGAGATTATGTGATATTTGTCTTTCTCTGCTTGGCTTGTTTTGCTGAGGATAATACTTTCCAGGTCCCTCCATGTCGTCTCAAAGGATAAGAGATCTTTTTTTCTTACAGCTGCATAGTACTCCATTATGTATATGTACCACAGCTTTTTTATCCATTTGTCTACTGATGGACACTTGGGCTATTTCCAGATCTTAGCTATTGTAAATAGTGCTACTAAAAAAATAGGGGTACATATATTCTTTCTGATTGACGTTTCAGGCTTCTTAGGGTATATTCCTAGAAGTGGGATCACTGGATCAAATGGCAATTCAACTTTTAATTCTTTGAGGTAACACCATAGTGTTTTCCATAGTGGCTGCACCAGTCTGCATTCCCACCAGCAGTGCACTAGAGTCCCCTTTTCTCCACACCCTCTCCAACACTTGCTGTTTGATGATTTGTTGATGGCAGCTATTCTAACAGGTATGAGGTGATACCTCATTGTTGTTATTTTATTTTTTGTTGTTGAGTTTTGTTTTGTTTTTCCTCTCTTTCTTTACTGATTTTAGAGAGAGAGAAAGGGAGAAGGAGAAAGAGACAGAAACATCGATGAGAGAGAACATCAATTGACCTCCTCTTGCATGACCCCTCCCTGGGGGTTTGGCCCACAACCAGGGCATGTGCCCTGACTGGGAATTGAACCAGCAACTTTTTGGTACATGGGTCGACACTCAAACACTGAGCCACCCCGACTGGGCAACAATAAACTTTTTAAATGCTTATTACCTTTTTGCCACAATTCTACTTCATGTATATGTGTGATAAAACAAATGTACAAGAAGATTCATTGTAACATTAGTGGTAACAGTAAAAAACAGGAAGCAATCAAAATGTCCATCAATAGGGGATTTGTTAAATAAATTATAGTACAAAATTCATTCAATTGAATATTAAGCAACTATTAAAAGAATGAAGTGAATCCATAAGCAGTGCTAATAGAAAGAGCTCTAAACAAAATTCAAACAGTAAGCACAAGGTGCTCCCATTTAAGTTCTCCTAGGAATATATGTATATTCCCCTTGAAATATAAACAGAAAATTTCTGGAAATATACATAAGAAATTACTAAAACCGGTTATCACCCTGGAAGAATGTTGGAGTAGACTTCATTGGAAGGGCCACTCACTTTTCACTATATGCCCTCTTGTAGCATTTGAACATTTTATCATGAGAATGTATTACTTTTAAATGTTCTTAAAAGTTGCTTTAATTAATTATTATGATTGTTAAAATACTGGGCTTTAAAGTACTTAGCTATCTAGAAATTCAGTTACATTGTATTGCATACTGCCCAACAGTATCAGAAATCTGAAAAATTTCTATGAATACATGGTTTAAATAAAATATATACTAAAATTAAAATATAGTTCTATATTTTGATTATAAAGTATCTATATTAAGCTTATATTAAAAATAAGACACTTTTGTAAGAAAAGTAACTAAAATTTACCTCTTAAAATGTTTCCAAAAAACTTATCTGAAAGATTATATGAATAATGATATAGCCCTAGAAAATTTTATAAAATTGCTCTATAATATGTTAAGGAGTATATTTTATCTGGGGAAAGAATATATATTGAATATAAAATTTAAATTTTCCTTACAAAATCATTTGAAACAAGCACCAGTAGAAATTATGACAAATAATTTCCCATTAATTCTATTTTCTTAGCCAGTACTTAAATATTTTTATGTCAGCAATTGCCCTTCCTCAAATTTCAACTTAGTTTTACATTGTGTAATTATGAATGACAACACTGCTTATATTGAAAAATATTTTCTGTCTAGCACAAAGGCTGAAATTTTGTACAGTATTGTCATTCATCAGTTCTATTCTGAAAATCAAGTGGTAAAGTGGATTTTTGCAACTTCCTGTCTTTTTTTTACCTGCTATGAGCTTCTCTGTATCAGGCAGATGTGTGAACTGTTTTTTGTATTCCTCATTCCTGTCTTTATAGGTGGAACTTGAAATCTGTAACAATGAAAAGATTAAATTTTGTTTAATTATAATCTTCATTAAATGGACTGAAATGTAGCATCTTAGAAAATAAATTTAAAATGCTTTAAAATAATATGCTTTTTTATACACTTTTTATATGTCTTTGTATGAAAAACCACATAACATTTCAAAAACATCAAAAGGAAGCTATAGCATGGTGGAGTGAGGAGTTTGGCAAGTCCTCTCTGTAAAAGCAAATATATAGATAGAAAAAGAAAAAAAAACTGTCAAAAACAATCACCTCAGCCCTGGCCAGTGTGGCCCAGTTGATTGGAACATTGTCCCATACACCAACGGGTCATAGGTTTGGTTCCCAGTCAAGGCACATACCCAGGTTGTGTGTTCAATCCCCAGTTGGTCACGCAGGAGGCAACCGATTAATGTTTCTCTCATATCAATGTTTCTCTCTCTCTTCCACTCCTTCCTCTCTCTAAAAATCAATGGAAATATATCCTCGGATAAGAGTTAAAAACAAACAAACAAACAACAACAACAAAACCCATCACCTCAAATTACTGGAAGTTGACCAAAGGCATACAATAAACTAAAAAAAATATTTATTCCTGAAAAATCTACTGAACTTGGAAATAGCAGAAGTCTGTGGCACTGTTTCCTTAGCCTGCTCCCATTACTCTTCCTACCCTATCAGTGAAGTCAGTGTGGTAGTTCTATGAGGGTGGAGCAGGCCATGAAAACTAGTAGCTTTGCTAAGAGAGCAGGCTAAGTTGATTCTGAGTGAAAAGCAGAAAACCCAGAAGTGCAAAGGAAAATTCTGAAGCTATCCAAGTGAATGTGAGATTGTAGTCCTAAATGGGGTAAGAACCAAACAGGCTGGCAGGTTAAAAGGGGACTTAACAAAGAGATCTGGGAGGACAGACAGCTTGTAAAGATCCAATGTATTGCATGCATAATAGCAGAGAGATCCCAAACTACCCACACATTCCTGATTAGACACAATCAGTCTCAGGGCAACATATCATGAGACAAAGACGGTCACAACATAGTATTAAAGAGACCGATCCAACAAGAAAATATAACCCTTAGAAACATATATGCACCCCATATAAGAATACCTAAATATGTAAACAAGACTCCTGTTGGACTTTAAGGGAGAGGTTGACAGTAATACTGTCACAGTAGGGGGGACTTTAACACTCCCACTAACATCACTGGATAGATCTTTCAGACAAAAAATCAACAAGAAAATAGAGACCTTCAATGACACACTAGATCAGATGGATTTGATATTTACAGAACATTTCATCCCAAAGCTGCAGAATATACAGCTTCTTATCAAGTACACATAGAACATTCCCAAAGATAGATCACATGTTAGGACACAAAATAAGTCTTAACAAATTCAAAAAGATTGAAATCATATCAAACATCTTCTCAGATCACAATGGCACAAAACTAGAAATCAACTACAATAAAAAAACTCAAAAGCATTCAAACACATGTTAGCTAAATAGTATGCTGCTAAACAATGAATAGGTTATCAATGAGATCAAGGAAAAAATAAAAACTTCCAGGAAACTAATGAAAATGAACACACAACACAAAATCAGTGAAGCAGTCCTGAGATGGAAGTTCACAGCATTAAAGGTCTACCCCAGGAAACAAGAAAAAGCTCAAATAAATAATCTAAGACTTCCGGTCAAAATGGTGGCATAGGTAAACATGGTATCAACTCCTCCCACGACCAAATCAAATTTACAACTAAGGTACAGCACAACCATCATTCAGAACTGCCTGACATTGACCTGAATGAAAATTCTACAACTACAAAATTAAAGAAGCAGCCACATCAAGACTGGTAGGAGAGGTGAACTTGCAGAAGGGCTGGTCCCACACCCACGTGTGGTGAATAAAAATCAGAATGGACACCTTAGCTGTGAAAGTCCTCCCTGAGGGTCCTCCCCATCCCACAACAGGCACCAAGCTCAGGATTCCAGTGCCAGAAAGAGAAGTCCCCATAATTTTGGGCTGTAAAAACCAGTGGGAACTGCCCTGGCCGGTTTGGCTCAGCGGTTAGAGCACCAGCCTTCGGTCCGGAGAGACCCGGGTTCGGTTCCCGCTAAGGGCGCGTACCTCGGTTGCAGTTTGTCCCCAGCCCTGGTTGGTCGTGCGGGTGGCAGCCACTCGATGTGTCCCTTTCACATCGATGTTTCCCTCTCTCTCTCTTCCTCTCTCTCCCTCCCACTCTGTCTGTACAAAAAATGGAAAAATGTCCTCGGATGAGGATTAAAAACAAAACAAAACAAAAAAAAAAACAGTGGGAACTTAGGTTGAGGGGGGCTGAGGCTGCTGGAGCCCCAGGAAGTTCCTCTTAAAAGGTCCACACTTGGACTTACTCCCTCTAAACTCAGAGGGGAGACAGCTTGAGGGGCACCAGAGACATACAGGGAAGAACTGAGCTATTTGGCCTTGGGTCAGGGCTGGAGAGGCAGCTTTCTCTCAGACAGACATGCTGGTGGAGGCCTTTGTTCCTTTGGTGAGCCCTTAACTGGGGCGGCAGACAGCCGCCATATCTGGGACTCTAGCAATATGTCTCACACTGATAGCCCTGCCCCGGTGACTCCCTGAGGCCCCGCCCCACCCAACTTACAGGTCCACCCAAGCTGTTCCAAAGGCTTTATCATAGGATTGGCCTTTCTTGGATCCTGCTTCAGAGTTTCCTAAAATCTCTCAAACAAGCAGCATCTGATCTCAGTGAGCCCCATACCTCTCACTAAGTGGCCCCAGGCCTGGCACTAGAAGCAGCCAGCCTTGGTTCACAACTTGGCTTTTCCTGGGCACTTCCACACCCAGCACAAGAAGCAGCCATCTGCAGATCACTTTGTAGCTTATGCCAGGTGGCCCTGGATAGAACACAGGCAGTGGCTGACCTTGCCTCAGAGCCAGCACACCCAGTGGACAACTTCAAACCATTTCGAAGCACCACCACCCAACCACCCCCACAATGACACACTCAATGAGTGGACTCAGTGGGTACTAAAGCCCTGCTGAAGTAAGTCTTGCTCTATGTGGTGGGCCCTTACACAGCTGATCCTCCAAGGTAGTCAGAGGCCAGTGATCAGTGGGCACAAACAGTCCTTGCAGCTGATCAGCCTTAGTAAATCCCTCCCACTGACGTGCCAACAGCAATTAAGACTCAACCACAACAGAAGGATGTACAGTTCATACTAGGGGTGCACCTTGAGGCCCAGCTGGGGTGATCAGGGAGGCTGTGCCACTGGATCCTATAGGACACCTACAACAATAGGCCACCCTACAAAGCCTCGGAGACATAGCAACTCTACCTAATACATAGACACAATCACAGGGAAGCAGCCAAAATGAGGAGACAAAGAAACATGTCCCAGATGAAAGAAAAGAACAAAACTCCAGGAAAAGAATTAAACACAATGGAGATAAGCAATCAATCAGATGCAGAGTTCAAAACACTGGTTATAAGGTTGCTCAAGGAACTTGGTAAGACATTCAAGGAACTTAGTGAGAACTTCAAGCAACTTAAGGAGAACTCCAAGGAACTTAGTGAGAACATCAACAACATAAAAAAGGACCAGTCAGAAATGAAGGATGCAGTAACTGAAATAAAGAATAACTTACAAGGAATCAATAGTAGAGTAGGTAAAGCCAGGAAGCAAACCATCAATTTGGAATGTAAGGAAGCAAAAAACATCCAATCAGAACAGCAAAAAGAAAAAAGAATCCAAAAAAAATGAGGATAGTGTAAGGAGCCTCTGGGACAACTTCAAGTATGCCATGCCAAAATTTGCATCATGGGGGTGCCAGAAGGAGAAGAGAGAGAGCAAGACATTGCAAACATATTTGAAAAAATAATAACAGAAAACTTCCCTAACTTGGTGAAGGAATCAGACATACAAGTCCAGGAAGCACAGAGAGTCCCAAACAAGATGAACCCAAAGAAGTTCACACCAAGACACATCATCATCAAAATGCCAAAGGTTAAAGACAAAGAAAAAATCTTAAAAGCTGCAAGAGAAAAGCAGTTTGTTACCTATAAAGACGCTGCCATAAGACTGTCAGCTGATTTCTCAAAAGAAACTTTGCAGGCCAGAAAGGAGTGGCAAGAGATCCTCAAGGTTATAAAAAGCAACGACCTACAAACAAGATTACTTTATCCTGCAAAGCTATCATTTAGAATCAATGGACATTCTACAGAGTTTCCCAGACAAGAAAAAGCTAAATGAAATGTTGAAGGGTCTTCTTGAAGGAGAAGAAGAACAAAAATATGAACAATAGTCCAGCCGGTGTGGCTCAGTGGTTGAACATCGACCCGTGCACCAAGAGGTCACCAGTTTGATTCCCGGTTGGGACACATGCCCAGGTTGTGGGCCCGATCCCCAATGGGGGGCATGCAGGAGACAGCCAATCAATGTTCTCTCTCATCGATGTTTCTATCTCTCTTTCCTTCTCACTTTCTCTCTCTCTAAAAATCAATAATGGGAAAAAAAAATAATATGAACAATACAATGGCAATTAATACATATCTATCAACAATTGAATCTACAAATAAAATTAGCAAGCAGAACAGAAACAGACTCACAAATACAAAGAACTTTTTGTTGCTTACCAGATGGGCAAGGGCTGAAGGGTTGGATGAAAAAGATGAAGGAATTAAGAAGTACACATTAGTTGTTAGACTGATGAACCTCAAAGGGAAGTTGGGAGAGAGGGCAGGATGAGATAAACCAAAGAACTTCTGTGCATATATGCATAACCAATGGACACTGACAATAATGTGGGGAAGGCAGGAGGGGGGTGAGATTGAAAAGGAGGGGGTCAATGGGGAAACAAAGGGAGGATATCTGTAATGTATTCAACAATAAAGATGAGTTAAAAAAAAATCTAACTATACAACTAAGAGAATTAAAAGGAGAACAACAAGAAAAACCCAGAGTAAGTAAAAGAAAGGAAATCATAAAGATCAGATGGGAAATAAATG